CACGGAAACTTTTTGTACGCTTCTTTATAAAAAAGATATTATAAAAAAATATGATCAAGTCATAGTTAAAATGCGATAAATCCATATCTCAAAAAAAATTACATCGTACCAATTACTTTTAAAATTACTGATCGATTAGTTTTACAGATTTATATATGTTACTATAAAAGCCCGTGTAATAGCACATCATAGGTTTTACAAGTAAATTTTAGTATAAACTAGACTTGGACACGAGCGATTTTTGCCTACAAAGATTTATTTAAAATTACATTAACCTAACTTACATACTTTTAATTTTAATTATGCCTCACCTCGCTGCATCCCACTGAGTGTACTGTACTGAGTGTTGTGGGTTCGATCCCCACACGGGACAACACTTTTTGTGATCCACAATTTGTTGTCGAGTTCTGAGGAGGTGTCCGTTTCATGTATGTTTGTAAAGACCCCCGTGACACAGGATATATTCTTAGTGAGTGCGGGAGTTGTCTTTATTATAAGACGCCTGGACTAAAAATTACTCGTTATTAATAAATCCGATTTTTCGTACATTTTAACGATTATTCGATTAAAAGTCGCAACACTACGGTGAAGGACCTAACTACGTGACTTTGGAAAAAAAAAACATCTATTGTGAATAAATTGGTTGTTTTGTTTAAAAAATTTAAATGTTGTCATTAAGAATTGTATATCTTGCGATAAAATAAAAATATCTACATAACTACATGGTTTTACGGAAAAGGTCATTGAAATTGTGTGAGCTAAAACTTTTGATTTTGTAGGGGCGGCACAGTTTCTTCCGCTCCGGGCGCCACTAACCCACGCAACGCCGCTGTTTATAATCCTTTTTAAATTGGTATACACGTCTTTATCATTAGATGACATCACCATTCATGTTTTGGCCAATTCAATGTGACTATGAGGTATGCCAAATATTATGATGGCACCGTTGACAGAATCTTTAGAATGAATGTTTATTGTAACATATGATGTTGCTATTGTAATTCTATTGTCATCATCGTCCATTTAACAAATCAACGTCGTTAAAAATTAACAAACATAAATATTTTCCAATTCATACAAGGAGATTTTGTTTCTCATAATAATCATTTCTAAATTAATGTTGACTTTGGTATTCAAATATAGAAAATTTAAAATATTTAATAATTAGAAGGATAACATAAATTAATCAGATATATTACTTTTATGAAAAATCGTGTACTTATATCCAAAAAATATATTTTAATTTCACCATTGATAAATGCCTTACCTCACCTCAAGTACACGATTTTTCATAAAATTTTCATAGAATACCAATTCATTTCGAGAGAAAACATTAATATATATGTCAAAATAAAAGAATCTTTTAAAGTGCGTAATTTTCTTAATAAGAATTTTCAAGCTAAAAAGTGCTATTGATTTAAATATTAATTGGGGAACGAGCCTTCTATAAGTAAAATAATGGATCTCTTATGTGCCATTGTTTTTGCCACGAATTAGAAATAACCTCACGTTTTTGTTTACAAAAATACTATCTAAATAATGCATCATAATATAATTAGATATGATATAAAACAATATAAATGATTGTCTGAGGGAAGTTAAAAAATAAACTTTCCTCAATTCACACAATATACAATAAACAAACTTATGCAATGAACTAAACAAAAAATATTAACATACCTATTGTTCTTTTTTTAATTATATACCTGCTGACACCGACGACGTCGACAATTTCCTTCGCCCTTTGATAAAGAGTCTCCGTTAGAAACTTAAGTTTATAAAAATACATGCAGAATTATTTTGAATAGTATATCTTGAAAATTATTAACAGCACACACGGAAGTTGTTACCCTAATCTACGATTCTGGTAGCGGAAACATTGACAACTTTTCTACTGGTTTCAAAAGATGACGCATTATTCTTATATATTTAATATTAACTAGATGCTAATAATTAGTCTCAAATTGGTATTATCATTCAGTATGTAGGTACTTGCAATTTTTTGATAGAATGACTTCATATATCTACTCATCATTTTAAACACTAGTGTTCAAAATCGGAACACATCTTAGTTAGGGCAAATGCCATGAATTCTGAAAAAAAATTAAGAATGTTTGCGTAATTACGTAATGTCTAGTAATTATTCCCATATGCACATTAGGTTTGTGAACCACATTAAAAATTAAAACTGCTGTACCTAATGTAATTACTGTCCTCGTACCACACATTTTTATCATATACTTATTTGTATGAGATAAACCACTTCTTATCACTCCTACTAATTGTTAAATCGATGTACTAATTAACGTCATTATGAAAACGATTGATAATGATATCGATTAATGTCGCTGAATTTCGCCAGACAAAACAGGAAATATGTCTCTACAGAACTTTATTAAAAGTCGTTAACACTTGAAACGGCGGTTATCAATAGGGAGCTTACAGGTTACATCTTGATATTCACCAAATATTTTTGTGCGAAATTTATTGCAGTATTCCTGTAAGTATAATAGTTCATTGCGTGCGTGCGCTGCTACACAATTGTTATCTAAATTTTATGATGAAATCAAAACCCTTATGATCAAATCTACTATTTGATCATAACGGTTTTGTTTCATCCGTTACATAACATATTCTCAATTGTGTGACCCCCATTAGCCTAAAACTATACTTGTGACTATTTGACAGTGTTATTTATTTAACTTTATGCACTTTTATACATCGCTGGACTTAATGCCCAGAGCATTATCTTCCAGTCAACCTTTGGCTGGTGTAGAAACCTATTTAGGTAGGTGCACAGAGGTTACGCCAAATATATTAAGTAATCAATGAAAATATATACGGTTCGCTACATACATAAACTTATACATACACACAACACAATGCATCACAGTATTACTTAGAACAACAGTTTTAAGAACTTATGAATGAAACAATGATCTCCTTACTTTTTACCCTGTAACCGTTTTTATTCAAGGCAAGCGCAATATGTCAAATTCCAAAAGGTTTCGGCTGCTTGCTGCTTTCTTTTATGGCAGGCATTTGCCTGACGCTACTCTTTCATGGGATTGTAATCATTTTCCGACGGGACAAAGCAATAAGGTAACTAAGATAAACCGCAAGTCTTAAATTGGGACTTAGTACTGAAATTGTAGTAGTTTGAAGAGATTCGAGCCAGGCAGAGACGGATATGCCAGGCCAGTCTTCACCGGAAGGATACCACGGCGTTACAGAAAACTAGTGTTCAAAAAAGCAGTTCTTGCATTGCTTTTCATTTTTTCATTTGCTGGTCAGTGATCAAATGAAGAAATGACCATTACAAAACGTTTTTAAAAGAAAAAATGTAGATATTGACTTATACATACTCGTTATTGAAACTAAATAAACATTCTTCCAACCTTTAGTAGTTATTGAGCTTATATCTACATAACTAAATGTTGTGGAACTAATTGTAAAAAAAGGCATAACTACAACAGCATAACGTACTAAAACTTAGGTATAATGTTATGACCTTCGTTTTTTACGCGTATGAAACATGTGGGTATATCGCCAGTGTTTTTTCATTTGAGTTTGTTGTCTGTATACGTATTTCCTTTTCCCGTGTTGTGGGTTGATCAAAGTACAACATAAATCGAGCAATAGGTAGTCGTAATACATAATAGGAGTATGTTTGATTACTTATTAAACTTGACACATTAAAATGAATGGGATGAAAAAAAAATGATGAATAATATTGTTTGGTGTTAATAAACGTTCTCCTTAAATGAACTTTTAACAATTTCACTAAATGACTATAATTATGTCGTTTAGGAAGCTTTTAGGTACTTTGTTTAGTAATATCTATAATAAGATGTGGTATCTGTATCTTGGAAATTTTTCATTTGAGTATTGCGCTGATCGGAATAGTTAATCGCGATCTTGGAAAATAAAAGTGATAATATGAAAACGGAAACTAGACTTATGCAAAAAATTAAGGTAGCAAAAAAAATTGTCAATGTTTCAGTGATAATTGAAGGCCCATATTTCTGTGGAAAATAGCCGTATTAAGCTCGTAAAAGAAGCATCTTGAAGCTCAAAAATTCTAATGTTCAGATCTCTTGGTCAAAAAGCTTGAATTTTTTTTTGTCTACTGTCTACCTTTTAGGTTCTTGTTCGTTTATGAAACTCATCAAGTTTCAATAACCTAATGTGAAGTTTCTGGATGTCTTAAATTCAAATGATGTGGAGGATTCAAGGATGTTCACACACAAATCCACAGTGAATTTGCCTATCCTGTTTAAAGAGTTCTCTCGATCTCTCCAAAATTCCATCATAAGATTATGGCCCAATGACATGAGCAACTAGAGATAGAAGATACTCTTTAAAACAAAAGAAGAATTACCCAAATCAATTCACCTATATTCGTGTAGGTGAATAGTTTAAGTAGGTAAAAACCTCCTCCTTATTTTGAATTCGGTTAAAAAGTCTTTGGAAAAATAAACATATACCTAGTATATGAAAATAAATTCAGAATAGGAGCAAAGCAACTGTCAACTTTTTCTTCTTCAAACTTTAATCGTAAAAGTAATTGTAAAATTAAAAGATGAGTCAGTACATTAGACAGCTTAGGTACATACATATATATGTAAACTGATAAAGTAATAGAAATATGTCATGGTGATAGATTAGAAATAAGTAAAATGTAATCTAATGCAATCGATTACTGTACACGAAATTATTGGTAAAAAATATTATTAGTAAATAATGTGTTATGACAACTCATTATATTTACAATAGGTACATGTTAGTAAGATACTGGTTATCAAAGCAAGTGTCTATGATTTTTATACGGCTCATTTATGACTGAAGATTAAAATTCAAATCAGTACTATCAATTATTATCTGAAAATTTTAAAACTTGTAAACCTATGATTGAGAACGAAATTAAATCTCATGCACCTTTAGTAGAACTAATTAAAATAATATAAATAAGTTATTTCAACCCGACTTTTTTGTTACAGGATCGGCAACAAACGTTACCCTTGAAGAAAGCTGAGCAAGCGGCTGATGTAGCAAGCAATAATCATGCTCCCCCAAAAAGAGAAGCCACTGACAACCCGCCCCCTCCACCACCGGTAAGAATATAACATTCGCTATAATGATACCACGTTTTACTAAACTTTTTGAGCAAAAAAGTGTAAGAGCAATGCTGTTTGAAACTTTTGTTGTAATAAAATATCTATCAACCATATATAATATTATTATTATAATTATTATATCCTCTTTATTTCCATAATGAATAAATTACAAAACAAATATAAATATATCAGGAATTAAAAGTACATATTAAGTGCATGCATGAATTAAAATATTAGGTACAATTGATACAATGAGTATTATATAACAGCGTCATAAATAGCGTCATTTTAAATAAGTTTCTAAATAAATAAATTCAGTTTTTATTATTAAAAAAAAAACAAATTTCAAATGACTTCAATTTTTTAGATCAATTTATATTATTTAATATGGACCCCTCAACGGGTAAAGGCCTTCTCCATTTTGCTAAACGTCTGTCTGTCCCTTGCTTTTGTGCACCAGTTTTCATCGGCTTTTTTAACTATTTCATCAACCCATTTTTCCCTCGGTCTACCTCTTTTTTTCTTTTGTTTGTTGGTCCATGCCATCATATGTAATATATATGCTGTTAATCCTATTCTGTGTGCAGGCTCTTGCAAAACTGATAAGCGCTTGTCACTAATAATATAAAAATACAAAGCCTTGCATTTTGAAATCATCAGTGTCACGAATGATATCGTGTCAATTGGCTTATACTATCAATTTTAGAAACATCTAGAATTTTATTAGCCTGAGCAACTTACATCTGTAAACCAGTTGTGGCACTTATGCACAGCTGTCGCTCACTGTAGAAATTGAACTTAAGATCACGGTCGGGGTGCACTATTTGTATTTGTTTGTTTGTATGAGTCAAGATCACAGCCAACAGAATAATAAACTTGTATTACATAATATGACCTTAAATACTTACATGCACAATATTTTAACTAACATTAAAATGGACTATCTTTGGTAATTTATATAACTTGAAAAATTTATGAACTCGATCTATATTTATTAATACTTCATCACTCTCGCTATGATATTATCACGCAACAACATTCAATTTCTAGAGCGGCGTTGTAATGGAAGTGAGTCACCTTTTTTTATTCTTTGCCGAAATGCCCTCGGATACCACCCACCGGTGGTTATGTCAGACTCGAACCGACCAAAAACCCCATGCCGTCTCGGGTACCAGTTGCCGGGGAACCAGGTCTACCCTAGGAAGAGCATCCCTGATACCCCGGCGTACCTCGGCCCATCTACGGCGTGTAAATGACTCCCTCCTGTGTGGTAACCCATATGTCCCCTTCGTGCTCCCGAAAAGGTTCGCGTGCTCCGCAGCGCGTCTCGCTACCACCCCGCCCTGCTAGGGTGTCAGGTGGCCTCATCTACCACCCCTAGGCCTGCGCTTATGGAGGAGTATGCCTGAGTCGTCTGCGGTACCTGGCCCATTACCGGGCCGGGCCGGGCAACTTCTAAACCTCTCCCGCTCCGCCATCTCCTTTGCAAGTATAACTTGGTCGCAGAAAGAGACGGCGGAGTTCCACGAACTCTCGCTCGTGTTACTGAGCGAGAGAGCGCTCCATCCACGCCGGGCACTCTTCCAACGTGTGGAGCGCCGTGTCCACGGTCCGGCATCGCAGCGGTGGCACTCAGGCGTTGCCTCCTTGCGGATCAGACACAGGTGATCAAAGCCTCCTTTCCCGGTGATCACCTGCGTCAACCGGTATGAGAGGGTGCCGTAACGCCTCTCAAACCAATCCTCCATAACGGGTCTTACCGTCGCGGTAACGGCGTGCCCAGCTCTCGGTTGCCCAAGTCGTTCCTTCCACTCCTCCACGAGGACCTGGAGTTGGGATTTCTGATCCTCGATTTTTTGAGACTCAGGATACCGACCCAACTCCCGCGCCTCCTTGCGCCAATGCACGCGCTGCGCCAGCCAACTTGGGGACCAGACCTCGGAAATGGTGTCCGAAGTCCCATCGGACATCGAGTACGAGCCCCAGATACCTCATCGAGGCCTCGATGCCTCGTTGTGCCTTAGAAATTCTTTGTTAAATGAAGGATGACGATGCTTTATTGATGGAAGAGAACGATATTGACACAAAGGATGTTCCTGACGTTCAAATTCAATACAAGTATGAAGGAGTGGGTCCAAAGTTCATGGACACAAGATGATTAAGTTTATTGTTTACTAACTAGTCGTTTGTTCTCTCTGTTATCTAAAAATTGGACTTTAAGTTGATTTTATTAAAAATTATTTGATAAAATGAAAAAAAAAATGGCTGTTGCTTCCTTTCAATTATTTTTAAATACATGCATAAAATGGAAAAATGTGTGACGTCACATGAGGAGGGAGAAGGTTCTAAAAATGTGACAAGGACTGGGAGAGGGGTTAAAAGTCCATTCAGTCGCATTCTGTGACTACTATTAACCGTGGGAGAGCCATGTGACCTTGACCATGTGCACTTGTTGACCTTTGACACTTGTTGGACATTCTTGGGCCATGAGTCATTCACCGTCAGGTGATCCATGAGCTCTTTTGCACCCTCAATAATTACCAAAAACATTATACTACTTATCTAATATAACAGGGACTACCAAGAAAACAGATCCTACATTAAGATTGAACCATCATGTAGCAATGAGAAGATGTGCAGCATTTGCTGATGGATTGTGTCAGGAACGGGGATGAAAGGGAATTATTGATTAGACAATTTAAATTAAATGTTATGGACGTTGGGCTTGTTCAAAGTATTTTGGCGAATCCGAAGACGGAAATTGCAATGCGGATGTGTGCTTTGGTGGAAGTCTGCCACAACAATCATCAATAATTCACTTTTTTTTTATTCTATTTCATTTAGTAAATATTAAGATATGTTGTGTTGTATATGATAAGGTACGATGGGGTTGGCGTATCCTTTTGGATAAAAACCCCTTGTAAAAAAAAAAAAATGTAGCAATGATAAATTTATATAACACATCACACAAAAAAAAACATTTATTCCCTGCACTTGCATGATGTCAACCATTGTTTTACAATTTTTTCAAAATGTGTTAATTATTATTACTAGTAGTTTAACCGTTTATGGGTGCTCTTTTTTCAGATGCCTACTACAAATGGACACCAAAATGGAAACCATAAAGTTTTGGATAGTCAGAAAACTGTCACGAAGTCACCTATCGCAGATATCATGACAAATTCAAATAATAGAAAAAATGGTACTATAATGAGAACTCCGACACCAGATTATAATAAGAAAACTGAACCGATTTCTCAAATTAAGAGTATTAAAGACGAGAAAGTGGAACTAGAATCACTAGAATCTTATAAACTAAAAAATCCGTCCAATGTACCACCTAAACCACCTTCCAATTATTTTGTGAAAGCACCAAATGGCACAGCTACGATGAAGAAACATTCCCGGCCTGTGTCTGTAACGATAGGTGAATACGCTTACGGTGGTGGTAGCAGAAGGGAACCGACAAAGTTAGACTTCCTTAACGGAGAGAAACCTAATGGTCTACGTGATGCTGACGAAGATGTTTCGATATCAAATAGGCTTCAATCAGAACTGGCTTTAACACTTTCTAGATCTAATTTACGTAAGAAAACTGAAGCTTTGGTAAGTAGTGGTACATCTATTTTATAGTTATGTAGTAATATAAATTAATTATGTAATTAAAAGAAAGGATTATAAAAATTTATGTCCTTGGATGTTATTATTCTAGAAATGTATTAACATTAACGCATAGACATGCAAAGATCGTCATTATATTGAATGAGTAAAATATTTATGAAACATAAAACATTTATTTCTCATTTCCTAATTAAAACATGACTAAATTTGAAAGAAACTAATTTTAAGCATAGAGATAATAATATAGAAGATAGAAGGTATCGGATTTTCTATAAGTGAAATAGCGCCGTCGTCGGTAGGAAGAGAAAGAAGTCGGCGAAAAAAACCGTAAAAACCGTATTTAAATGTATTTATGTTTGCAACATTTTACGAGTATGTTGTTTGAACTTGTTTCGAAATCAAAATAAGAAAGAGCTTATAGATAACTTATCTTTCAAAAAACAATTATATTAACTATAGACAACATATTTTGAGTTAATCAAAGACAATAAATCTTTAGTTTTATTTTACATATTTATTTTTTGTATTATAATTATGTAGTAAATACATAGTACATTTTGCTAGTATAATTATGCTTTAGCTTCAACTAGTACCTCAATCATATTTATTAAGTTATTGGTTGACATAGTAGCTAGTGCTAGTAGGTCAGGTAGTCAGTAGTTATAATTAATTAATAAGTAGCCCCTTTGAGTATAGCTTTAAAAACGTTGCTTGTTATTTATATCAATGCTATAGACCCCAATATTCTTAATAAGACGTCTTGTGAGTAGTACCTAAACAAGGAGAAAATATTAAGTACAGGCTATGTTGATTACATTTATATACACATTGTGCATTCTTTCCAGAATAAAGGCATTATTATAAGAAGTTGTGAATCAAACGATGACAGTGATTCTTCCATTGATAAAAATTTTCACGCTAGATATGGTAATAACTTGTTACCATTACCGCCTTGTGTAACAATCCCCAAAGTTGCAGTTTCAAAATTAAAGTCTTGAACACGGCCAGACAGTAATATAATTAGGTAGATGAATATCGGTGTTAAATTAAAAACACTTTGTTTTGAATACTTTCAAGTGCACTTTATTATAATTTCTAAGTATAGAAAATGCATGAACTCACCTTTTTTACTAACGAATATTTTTTGGGTGGTGGTGATTGTATAACCACAGATTATTTTAAATATGAAGCAATACAATGTCCACTTAGTGATTTACTTCTGACAAATAAATAAAACACATTTGGATACGTTTTCGGGTTGTTAAAAATGTTCTTTTTTATTATTTTAATTCTCAAAATAAAATGGCAAATCAACGTATGTCAGGTTCTCTAGCAGCATCTATTAATAAAACCCACAGGTCTTGAACAATCATACAAACACTCAGGCTATATTCCCGACGGGGTAACCAGAGGCGTATTAACGCCAACTATAATTTTATTCCCACTTGTGTAACAGCAGTCAAGCCTAGCCGATTGTTTGCAACCGGCCATTTTAGAAATTAAATGGGTAAATTGGGAGTTGAACACGAAAGGAAAAGTTGATGAAATGAGAAGGCTGTGATTTTGCTTATACGAATAGGATTGGGGAGAATTAGCAATAGCTCGAGTAGGTCAGGTGTGCATTGCTGTAACCCGGGTCACGGTACAATTATAATACAGTAGTGTAACTCGGCCGCATGATAGAAATAAATGCCTACAGCCGCGCGGTACGTAAACAGGCGTTAGGGCTTCCCGTCTCCAGCATTTTAATTATATTTGCCTACTTTATGTTTCTATTTAGAATTGTGATTGTAAATATCCTTTTTATATAAATAAATGAAATACTTTGTATATTGGATAGGAAGTGTTTAATAAAAATGCGTGTTGTTATTTGATTGGTAGATTTAATTAAAAAAACATGTTTTTGTTTAAAAAACAAATCGGGCTTATAAATTTGCGACCGAAAAATATTTGCGCCTCAATATTTCCTCCGTTTTTTCTATATATTCATTAAAATCATCGTTGGGTACAATCAAAAAAGTTCGCGAATTAATCTTACTGTAGTCCCGGTACCGTATCATGATTCATTCAGAACCGCATATAACTACCTATTTCACTCGTCTCAATAACTTTCCGTTACTCTATTCGCTTTATTTATTAATCCAAACACCTTTTTTTCGTGAGATAAAAGGAAATACTTATCCATTAAAAAGACACACATTATGTACCTATCTACTAGTAAGTAAAATTATTTTATAGTCTTACCTTTTAGAGTTTCCAGGTAATTTAAAAAAACTTATGTCTGGATGCGTTATTGACGAATTCATACAACCAAAAACAGCACAATATTTCCTACTCGTCATATTAACTGTTTTTTTGAGAAAAAATCCCGCGGTTATTGTTAAAAAAACAACACACAGTCCGTTCGACACTGCGGTACAGCCGTGACTGTCTGCGCCCCGAGCGCACCCCGAGATCGAGGCGCGTAGGTATAGCTCGCGTTTCGTCCGTTTGTATGAAGTTGGAGTACTGTATTATAATAGTACCGTGCCCGGGTAGAGCCCATTGATCGTTGCACAAACAGCACATATTTAATTATTATAATGAAAGAGAACATTTGAAAATGATGTGGAATGTAGTCTATATTGATATTCTTTTGCAAGTTACAATGTCCGATTATCTTTCGTCGTTGGAATTATGTAGTATTCACTATCTAATTACTTCAACTATACAGTTATTTTAATTACCTGTTGTATTTTTCGGTCAGATTACCACAACACAATGACGGAGTAATAGATGTCGTCACTAGTATGTTGTCCGATGTAGGTAAATGGTAATATCAAGATACTGTTCGATGTAAACAATAAGTTCCTACTATAATATTCTAGTGGCGTCTCTAATGCTAAATAATTAAGTTTTTGAAAACAATTTTATATATGTGCTATTTTATTTTCATTAATAAGTATCTTTTATTTGCAGGCAGACACCAGTCGATGAAGAGACTAGAAAGGCACATTACATCAATAGTTTTCTTTTAAATTAGACACTTAGTGAAAAATATAACTTTTTGGTTAAAATTTAAAAAGTCGACCAAAGTTAGTTAGGTATTTAATTTATGAGTTTATAAAATTGTATCATTATTATTTGTAGTGCCACGTCTGAAATAAGTATGGATTTTCAATTTATAATTACACGTACGAATATATAATGTAATTAATTTTAATATATGTAAGTACTTAACCGTACCCATCCCATAAATTGCGTTATTAATGTTTAATGTTTTGATTTTTTGAGGTTAGTACCTATATCAAATAATGTATACCTATCTGTGGAACGCCTAAGTCATAATAAAATCTGGTTAATTATGTTTTTTTTCTATTTATATACTCACCTTTTTTTACGTGACGCAATCCCACCGGGGTTTGCGGCAGGGTGGTGTATCGAAATAGGACCGACTATAACCACACGGTGTACCACTCTGCGCCTGTAATAAGAGAGATCTGGGAACTGCTGTTATTAAGACATCCGGACCTCTCCGCATGCCGCCTCCGTCGACACGGTGCAGTAACCGTGTAAGGCTCTAACCGCTAATACCCTCTGGAGGCGCCAAAGGCGCGCCCTATTTTGAGCGGTGAGAGCCGCCGCCCACACCGGTGCACCGTACAGTGCCATTGACCGGACAACCCCCGTGTACAACCGTCATTTACGACTATATACTCACCTACACCGAGGTTCTTTTCTGCCTTGGCTAGAGTGCTACTAATGTGAATTAATTGCCCTCGAAACTTTACTGTGTTATTGTGCACTCTTCAGATGAACCAACCTCTTTAAATGTCACAAATCTGCAAAGAGTCAAACTCTTAGTTGCTTTAGATTATAGTTGTGCCCTGAGGAGGGTTGTCTATAAAATATAATGACAATTTCACTTGTCAGTTTTATAATGTTTAGATTTTTAATACTACAAGGACCTTTATTTTTATTTTGTTATTTTTATTTCATAACCTGATGAGTTATACAAATGCCGGGTTGCCAAATAAAAACCCTTCACTTAGCTTCAGTGAAAGCCTAAGGAGACTGCTCTCAAGAGAATGCAAAGACTTGACCGATACGGTTGCAATTGAAAGTGCTTTTAAAGAAACTACGAGAGATGGTAAAGATATCTTACGTTTCGTGCGACTTGGTAAGCTCCTAAATTTGCGGTAAATTTATGGTAATGTGTCAGTATTACTTTAAGTTGATTTTGAACGTCAATTTTATTATAATTGGGTATCATAACACACTTTGCAAATCTGCAAAAAAAGTTGTGGGTTATAACGCAGTCTGCAAAAGGCCGGTGTTAAACAGTGCACTGAAATGGGTTAATGAATAGTATTTGTTGTATGACCGAAGATTGAAGTCAATCCCTCGGTGTAAGACTCAAATTGTTAAATAAGAAGTACAAGCAATGCTAGCTAGCTAATAAAAGTGGGTAGGTATCTATGGCCAGAAAAATAATATAAATGTAGAAAACATTGGAAAGGTAGCATGATAGACCCAGATAGCATGTATCTGTTTTTAATTTTCTGATCCGATGCTCTCGTATCTTTGTGTGCGTTACCCCAGCAAAATAATGTCGAAAATGGTCATTTAAACTTTATAGATAATTAGTTGCTCCCCTTCTGTAATTGTTAAGCACATTTTTAAATTTGTTTCACTTAAACTTTTTTAGTTATTTCAAAAAAACATTTCCTGCTGGAGTAACGTTTGAAACGTTACCGCAGCCAGACATTTTCTTTTTTAATTGTAATATTGAAATAAATTTTAGCTAGATAATTAGTTATCTGGACTAGGTAAATGTTACAACTTATTTGGTATTTGTATTTTCTTCGGCTGCGAAGTTATTCGAAATCCTGCTGGAGTAACGTTTGTGGGTTTGCTGGATCTCTGAAACGGGTAAGCGGATTGTAACCATCTTTTGTACATAACTTCTTAAGGATTAGTTTTAATTTGTTCGACAATAAAATAACAAAAATAATGGACCGTTTAAAAATTATTTAGGTAAGTATGAAAACACTTCAATACGTCCTAACACTTTAAATAAGACCTCTAAAGACTTACTTGAAACGTTATTCTATTGCTTGTAACTACCTTCAAATGTATACGAATTTTCGTAAGAATACTGTAAGTGACTAAAAAGTTATGATGAAATGTAGCTCTCCACGTTCACGATCACAATGTGTGCGGCCTTTTTTGGCCACCGATAAACCTGTGTGTGGATATATAAACTGAATGTTATGCCAATAATTAGTTGTTTAGTTCAGTTGTCTACCTGTAAAATTTCAGCGTAGTACATATAATAATTTACGAGATAATTAAATAAAAGTCATTAGAAGGTGCAAGACCGTGGTAACTCGACCATGTTTAGGTGGTTACAAAAAAGCGATCACCCAGTACATTGTGCTGGCTTTTAAAATATGTAGGATATTATTTGGAAGTTTACTACGGATATGTACATAAGTGTTACAAAAAACTACATGTTTTTTAAATATTTTTTATTTAGGATTGTTTATTGCATAATTAGTAATCAGCCGGGAGATTAGGTATTGTTTTGAATGCTTTTGTTTTCTCGTAATGTTTAGGTGAATTGTTTATAGTTGTTCATAGAATTGGTACCTGCGTAGTATTTGTTAATTGAAGTTTAATTTTAGGGTAGGTATAGGTAATTTAAGAAATATGAAATGAAATGATAAGTTTTGAAGAGTGTAACGTATGCGTTGTAAATAGGTATTTTGTGAATAGATGGGGATTTTTTTAAGTGATGAATCGACTTAGGCTAGCATATCGCGAACAAACTCTGTATTGCATTATTTCTGTAATAATGTTGGAGAAAATAAAATTTTTGATCACAAAATCGCGGTGAGTTAAATTATAATAAAATAAATTATTTATGTAAAATTAGTAATAAGTGATATACCTACCTAAAAGTTATGATCGTTTTTAATTTGTTCACCCTGAACGAAATTTCAATATTAGCATTAGTAATTAATATCCTAAGACAAGAATTGACAATTACTTAAATTGAATCGAATTAGCATTAATGCCTATTTTTAGTAATTAGGTACACACATATTGAAGAACTCTCAAGAATACGATAAATATTTGCAAAAATAGGAAGCGGAAGCGCACACGTACTTTACAACACGTATATTATCTGCCTAAGGGTCAAGTTTAGTGCACTAGATGCAAAAGGCAAACAATGAAGTATCCCTTCGCCCCTCCCCTCCCGCGTTCTAGCGAAGGATGTATTATCAGCGATTCTTGATTGACAAATATTATCTGACCAATAATTTTATCTATAAAAATGTATCACTTTCACTCGATAAATTAAATTACCGTTATTATATCAAAATATCATTCAACAACTGTTCGTTTTTAACAGAAATCAACAGTCACGGGCTCAACGCTTAACGGTAGGTACATAGGTATAGATAATTCTCGGTTCTAGGTATAGACCACAGAACAATATTACCTACTCTTACGAGGTATACGACTGTTGGGCGATGCAATGTTGATGCATTCTAATTTACAACTGTATTCTTCTACTATTCGGTCTATTTTAACTTATTGTAGATGACTTGTTGCTTTAAATATTTTGATGCATTCAAGTCTAAGCTCTATACACCCCAAAATAAAATACAATTACTTTAGTGTTATTTCTTTACAAAACTTTCTTTACGAAATGAAACGATTTGTTATTGGTTTAAATTTTCGATTTATTGCAGTCAGGTGAATCGTTCATACATGTATCTACATATTTATAATTTTAGCGGACCAGTGCAGATTTTCTGTTGATTGTAGCTCTGGTAGTAAAAAAGACTAAATAAATTTTAAGTAAAGAAACAAGTGCTTAAGATCAATTAGGGAAAAAAACAAAATAAATAATAGGTAATAATAATGAATAAATATTGAATGTATTTAACACTGTACGCAACTGTACCGAAATCGTAAGGTGTATTACACTAAACATTTCAAAAGACAGCGCAATGTACTGGGTGATCGCTTTTTTGTAACCACCTAAACATGGTCGGATTACCACGGACTTGCACCTTCTAATGACTTTTATTTAATTATCTCGTAAATTATTATATGTACGACGCTGAAATTCTACAGGTAGACAACTGAACTAAACAACTAATTATTGGCATAACATTCAGTTTATATATCCACACACAGGTTTATCGGTGGCCAAAAAAGGCCGCACACATCGTGATCGTGAACGTGGAGAGCTACATTTCATCATAACTTTTTAGTCACTTACAGTATTCTTACGAAAATTCGTATACATTTGAAGGTAGTTACAAGCAATAGAATAACGTTTCAAGTAAGTCTTTAGAGGTCTTATTTAAAGTGTTAGGACGTATTGAAGTGTTTTCATACTTACCTAAATAATTTTTAAACAGTCCATTATTTTTGTTATTTTATTGTCGAACAAATTAAAACTAATCCTTAAGAAGTTATGTACAAAAGATGGTTACAATCCGCTTACCCGTTTCAGAGATCCAGCAAACCCACAAACGTTACTCCAGCAGGATTTCGAATAACTTCGCAGCCGAAGAAAATACAAATACCAAATAAGTTGTAACATTTACCTAATCCAGATAACTAATTATCTAGTTAAAATTTATTTCAATAATACAATTAAAAAAGAAAATGTCTGGCTGCGGTAACGTTTCAAACGTTACCCCAGCAGGAAATGTTTTTTTGAAATAACTAAAAAAGTTTAAGTGAAACAAATTTAAAAATGTGCCTAACAATTACAGAAGGGGAGCAACTAATTATCTATAAAGTTTAAATGACCATTTTCGACATTATTTTGCTGGGGTAACGCACACCGTATCTTTGACCTCTGCAAGGGAGAAAGTCTTATAGAAAAGACACCGGGATGTCTGAGGAGGCTATCGGAGATGACTCATGGGTCAGTACTTAAAAAAAAATGACGTCTTTAAATTAGCGATCTAAATTTTGAGTTTTCTCTACACAAATCTATCTAAGTTTTATTAAATAGTACACATTTTGTACAACATCGAAGGGAAAAGAACATCATTATTCTTTTGGTAGCTACGGTTTACCACTCCGTTCCAAAAAATGCTTTGCGGCCTTTGTACACACTATCAATATAGCAACTCCTGCAATTTTGGGATTTACGGAGTAGACTAAATTACTTGATACTTATTTCAGCGCTGACTTCCAAGGCATTCGTGATAGCCTGTGAAAAAGAACAAGTTGCACCGTCCCACGTTGGCAGTCACCAAAATGTAGAAAATTTACAAGAATTAATAAAACTATATCCGTGGAGATCGGTCAAGTTATCTGTGTTTAAAAAAAGTAAAAGATACTGCGTTAAAGTTTTATTTCTTGATAAATCTATAAGATATTTTGAATTGCGTGGAATACCAAAAATGAAGGTAACATACTAGAATTTCCTGTTCTTGGCATTTGCACTTGTAAAAGATAATCTGTTAATTGAAAAACATAGACACTACAAAACTAGTTCATTTAAGACATGCAACTTATTTGCCGTTGATTTACATTAATACAAAAATGCAGCACTTTGCGCAAATGAATTTAGTCATTAAAATGTGCAAATTACTTAAGATAGCCTATCCAATGTTAAACGCCTTTTCAACGTTTATGGACCTATCTCCACAAACATTGAAAAGGCGATCGCTCTGCAGTCTGAATAGGTTGAACACAGTTCATGATACTTTGAATTAAGTTCTGTTATAGGACTCTTGTTGAATACTGGTTTACCGTCCATTAATGCACCGTGCAGTTAACTACTTAACAAAGCAGTTAGTATAAGGTGGCTTTGTATTCTTCTTAGATTTATTGGCACCTATGGCGACGTTACATTAAAGAACTCAATAACGCAAAGAAAAAATGGCCATTCACAGATCAGTCCATCGCCAGAAAGGGAAATTATAATGAAAAAACCCAATGTATAGAACTATGTGTTGCAAAACCCAAAAGAAAGGTTTGGTTTATATTTAGATACTTACCTGCTAGATACGTTCTTCGTTGACCTATTTACTTACTTACATGGTTCCCAGGAACCATGACGTTCTATCAGGATCATTTCTAACAATTTCTGGAAATTGTTAAAAATGAATTTCAGAAATTAGTTTAATTAGTCTCAGTTTTTTAAAACCCGTCCTAAAAAGGAAGGTTAGGTGAGTACCTACATCTGAAAATAAATGGTAGACATAGATGTAACGTAAGTAGGCATTATTGCTACTAAAATTATAATATAAGGTAATTATAATTTAATAAATTACAACCAGTCTATTAAATTTAGATAGGTGTAGGTAAAAAGGATGGTAGTCATTAACTTACGAAGTTTAACTACAACTAATGCGCTGTTATAAGTTATTGTAATGTTTCTTTTTCTATATAGAAATATCCACCTCCAAAATGGACAAATAAGTATTTATACTTAGGACCAACTAGAGAAATTGAAGACAAAAATCGCCCATGCCCAGTTCCCGGACTAGGGAATACAGAAGAAATAAAACTGCTATATTTGAAGCCGGAATATTTCGGTTGTTGGGAACAATCCGAACATTGGGTACAGTGCCGAGAAAGTTCTTCAGAATTCGCAAGTCAGAATAATGAAGAAACCGAATGCCCCAGTGAAACATGACGTAGTCTCCCTATATTAAGTTTAAAATAAATAAATAGATCTTCAAAACTATTTTAAATAAGACAGCTATCTTCTAAATCTACGTATTTATGACCTATAAGACTCCATTATTGCCTTAGGGTTAGGATACCTAATTCATTCACTTCTTGTCAGTTAAAAGAGTTAGTTTCAGAGTTTTTAAAACGCTGTCGAAGTTGCGATTGCGAGTCTATATTATTGATTATAAAAACAATATGCTAAAATTGGATACATAAGTAGGTGGTTAATGTTGTGATCCTCCTGAGAAATATACAAGAATGGAAAGAGTATTCGACTAAATAATTCACTACTAAAACTTGTGGAAAGCTCGAAAAAATAGTAAAACTGTCTAAGCTAATTGTAGTTTTACCCATTTTCAGTTAATGGTACATCATATTTGATGCGAAAGGATGTAAGTACATTGGACGAACTTTGACAAAATGGCAATAAATGCTCACAGCTACTGTAATCGCCCTTGCTCGGCCGCCGCAGAATTTCTATTTCTCGAAGTCTCTGTCTCTGAAGGAACCAAAATGGCCCTGGGGGCTGTATGTTGTCCTCCTTCAATAGATTACTTCTCCAGTCTGGAAAGAGTACTGGAATCTTTAGGGTCTTCGCTTCTACGCTCACCACGTCATCATAGGAGATTTTAATACAGACTTAACTCACCATACCTCACGCTCCTGTAAAGTCCTCCAGATTGTTGAGTATGCTAGTATGCAGATACAACCAACTCATCATAACAGCCTAGGGGTAAACACTTGGTTAGGGTACTAATATCGGCCCCAACGCTTGTCCGTAACCACGGTCAACTTGAAGCACCGGCATTCTCCAATTATGACCTTATCTTCCTCTCTTATGTCCTTAAATCACCTAAACTCCAACCCAAAATTGTTTGTACGTTGTGTTGTTCGTGTGGAGGTCGGCAAACTAAATAGAGATGCCTCCAATCTGAATTGGGACGTAGTGACGTCGGTTACAAGAGTGGACGAAAAATTTAATAACTTTAATCACGCAATTCTCCCTCTGCATGCTACATTCTGAATTGGGACGTAGTGACGTCGGTTACAACAGCGGATGAAAGACTTAATAACTTTAATCAAGCAATTCTCGCTCTGTATGATGTCCACACGCCTATCAAACAAAACAAAACTAAAGAGGCAACCTACTCCCTGGATGACGGAGGGGCCCTTGGCTATGCAACGAAGAGATGGGGCCTTTTATAAATGCAGAAGGAATCGTATCCGCCGCGAGAAATCACCGCAATCAGATAATACGGAACGCTAAACTCCGACACATTTTGATAACATCTCCCGTTCATTCCCCGCCAATATCTGTAAGTTTCTCAGAACTCTGGGTATCGGTAAGCAGCGATCGGGTGGTTTTGATGAAATAAACCGTAATTTCTCTTCCTCTGTTCATTTGGATCCCCAGACCAATTATCGTACTGTTGACTACCTGGATAGTCTTAATAGCCCTAACATAAATCCCTTCCAATTTTCTCCGGTAGCGTCGAGTGAGATCAAAAAGATTATACTCTATCAATTCTATCCCTGTTGGTTGTAATCAAGTCAGTCGATGCATGATCACAACAATCCTTGAACACATCTTACCAGTAATCACCCACATCATCAACTACTCCTGAGATTCCGGAATTTTCCCAAACCTTGTCATCCCCTTACTTATTCCAAATTTGCAAATCCCAGACTCCCCAACCATTTCAGACCAATATCAATTCTCCCATTCCCCTCAAAGGTCCTAGAATCCTTTGTGCTCAAACAGTATCCTGAATTCATCTATAAAAACAACCTGTTGACCCCGTTGCAACCTGGCGTCAGGCCTGGTCATAGCACTACTTCCGCTCTTCTTAAAGTAACTGGCGATATCAGGGCGGGTATGGAGGATACAAAGGTTACTGTTTTAGTACTGATCGACTTCTCAAATGCCATCAATACCGTCAATCACGATATCCTCTCGTCTATCCTTTCCTATCTTGTAGTTTCGCCTGAAGTACTGGAATGGTTCTCATCTTATCTTCAGGGATACCAGCAGTCTGTTTACGTCAATGAATCTTCTTCAAGCTTGTGTGATCTCTACTCTGGTGTCCCTCAAGGCGGTATTCTTTCCCCTTTATTATTTTCTGTGTATATTAACCTCCTAACTCTTGAACTTCATTGTGCATATCTTCGGTATGCCGATGACCTTCAACTTTATTCGCAGAACAAGGTTGAGGATATTTCGATGGCCATACGAGGCATGCCTTTTAAGTTTTGTCGTTTGAAGAAAAAACACAACTAGAACCTTATAGTACTTTTTATTGTTTTTCAAATTCATCACTTTGTATTCACCACGTAGCTTAATACACTTTTCCATTCACTCAAACCGAGTGAATAAAGGTCAAATTATAACATTTATTCCACTCTAAAGTGGGGGTGTTCAAAATGGCTGACTTAAAAGCGTCGACTGCTTCTTCACCGGACTGCAACCTTTGACCGAAGACTTTTCTTAATTGTAGGAAATGTAAATAAATCGTTAGGGCTTAGGTCAGAACTGTATGGAGGATGGTCAAGAATTTCTACTTTTTCCTGCTTCAAATACTCAATCGTTTGACGAGCGCTGTGTGAGCTTGCGTTATCGTGGTGCAGGATGATGCGTCGGTTTGAGTTAGATTTTCGAAGTTCGGCGATGACTTGTGGTAAACAAACTGTGGTATACCACTGCGTTAACCGTTCTACGATCTTCAAGTGCAATAGTCGCAACATGGCCGGTTTTTCCAACGAACGTGGCCACCATCTTCTTTGAAGTGCTTCGAGAACGAACAACTTTAGTCGGCTTTGGCTCGTCTTGAAGGACCCAGATCGTAGATTATTGTTTGGAATCAGGATCGTAAGCATAGATCCAAGACTCGCCACTGATGATGTCGTAGTCGTGATTTCACTCTCCTCGGTTGAACCTTTGCAGAGTTTTCTTACACTATCTGACGCGGGCCGCCTTGTGATCGTCGGAAAGCAGATGCGATATCCAACGGCAAACTAGCTATCTCACACCAAGCGCTTCATGCAAGGTCTTCTGAATGGTTGTCCCTGAGATGCCTAATAGAGCCTCTATCACTCGATACGTCACATGACGATCTTCGAGAATTAGTTATCTCACAGCAATGATGTTATCTTCAGTGAAGGCGGATTTTGGGCGTCCTTAGCGAGATTTGTCACTAACACTAGTATGTCCACGCTGGAATTCTAAATACCAGCGTTCGACAGTCCGCAGACATGGGGCTTCATCACTGAACACATATGTTAGCTCTTCAAAACACTGAAGCCGTGTCAGGCCTCTTCTAAAGTTGTAGACAATTATTGCACAAACATTTTCCTTAGAAAGATTCATTTTCGTACGTAACCTGACAGATGCCAATCGACGCTGTGACTAAACAATAGCATTAATTCTAATACTTTCAACCATTGAGTTAAAACAACACTAGAGAAGCAAACCTCATTATCACACGTCGAAAAAAGGTGGTTACACTTTTTTCGACGTGTGATAATTTTGATTTTTGATTTTGAACTTTGACGACGTAGCTTTGATACCACTAAACATTTGAAAGTATATATTTATGTCTCATTTACACGCGAGACAAGAACAATACCATCGCTCGGATTAGACAAAGACAAAGATACAACTTTACGATTGTGGGCCAGTGTTGACTACCGTATGAAATTTTACCCATAACAACTAAGAAACAATTTTTTTTTAAAACAATTTTGTAATAAAATAAATTAATTTAAATATTCTAAATAATATATTTCGAATTGAATAGAATAGGTATAAATAATAAAATAACTGGAAATATTTGGTTAAAAGGGTTTATATTCAGTGTAAAATCAAACTGCGCTGTGAAGCATCAGCTTTGTATACAATTGTCTTTTAGACTCTTATTTATAAGTTTGTGTGGATATTTTACTTTCATGATACAATCTTATTTTTACGTATGTAAAAATAATAGCATTTAATAATAAAAGTGAATGATCAACTTGTACTGATAATAAATAATCCCCAGGGTGTATTGCAAATTCTATTATAAATTAAAAAACAAAAAAAAAAAATTTTTTTTTTATTTATATTTTTTTTTTTTATGTATGTTTACTTACTTTTTTATTTTATTTTTTTATTTTTTATTTTTATGATAAACATTTTTTATTATTATTATTTTGTACAATTATTATTTAAAATTGATAATAAATTAAGAAAAACAATGAATTAATTCTTTTGTACAAAAGTCTCCAGCACTGCGAGCTTGGCACTTTTGCCAAGCTCGCAGTGAACGTTCAACGGGTCCCTAAAAAAAGTGATCGGTCCAGCCCTAACAACTACCGTTCTTCCTATATTTTATTATTATTGGCAAAATGTTTAAAAACAGTATAAAGCATATTATTTCATAAATTATAAATTCTCCCACTAATGTGGGAAAACCAAAATGATTTTTTAATGGTAACACTGATTCTAAATTACAATTATCAGTGTTTTATTTCAATTATAGCCTTATTTACGATATTATCAATACAAAAACCATAAACTTACACGTGAAAAGTAATTCCGCATGATTTATTAATGTTTTGTGACCTTGAATCGCATTCTTTCACTACGCATTTAGCCATTTTGGGGATTGTTACTGTCATGTGTCGCTATGTTCAACTCGGTTGACGCCACATTGAATACTGAATTGACGTTTGCTACCATTGATATAATACTTACATAGATGAGTAATTACCGCCTAAAATCGTTGCTACTGCACATCTGTCCACAGGCATATGCGTAGCAAACGTCAATTCAGTGTTCAATGTGGCGTCAACCGAGTTGAACATAGCGACACATGACAGTAACAATCGCCAAAATGGGTAAATGCGTAGTGAAAGAATGCGATTCAAGGTCACAAAACCATAATAAATCATGCGGAATTACTTATCACGTGTAAGTTTATGGTTTTTGTATTGATAATATCGTAAATAAGGCTATAATTGAAATAAATTGATAATATTGTAATTTAGAATCAGTGTTACCATTAAAAAAACATTTTTGTTTTCCCACATTAGTGGGAGAATTTATAATTTATGAAATAATATGCTTTATACTGTTTTTAAACATTTTGTCAATAATAATAAAATATAGGAAGAACGGTAGTTGTTAGGGCTGAATCGATCACTTTTTTTAGGGACCCGTTGAACGTTCACCTTCTGCCAAGCTCGCAGTGCTGGAGACTTTTGTATAAAAGAATTAATTCATTCATTCATTCATTTTTCTTAATTGATTATCAAATATAAATAACAATTGTACAAAAAATATATATATATATAAAATAAAAGAGTAAATAAATATAAATAAAAAAAAATAAAAAACAAAAAAATATATATATAGTTTATATATATTTTTTATTTTTATTTTAAAATATTAAAAGAATTTGCAATACACCCTGAGGATTATTTATTATAAGTACAAGTTGATCATTCACTTTTACTATTAAATGCCATTATTTATACATAGGTAAAAATAAGATTGTATCATGAAAGTAAAATATTCATACAAACTTATAAAAAAAGAGTTAAGACAATTGTATACAAAACTGATGCTTCATAGCGGAGTTTGATTTTACACTGAATATAAACCCTTTTAACCAAATATTTCTAGTTATTTTATTATTTATACCTATTCCATTCAATTCGAAATATATTATTTAAAATATTTAAATTAATTTATTTTATTACAAAATTGTTTTAAAAAAAAATTGTTTCTTGGTTGTTATGGGTAAAATTTCATACGGTAGTCAACACTGGCCCACCATCGTAAAGTTATGTCTTTGTCTTTGTCTAATCCGAGCGATGGTATTGTTCTTGTCTCGCGTGTAAATGAGACATAAATATGTTTACTTTCAAATGTTTAGTGGTATCAAAGCTACGTCGTCAAAGTTCAAAAGTGGTTACACTTTTTTCGACGTGTGATAATGAGGTTTGCTTCTCTAGTGTTGTTTTAACTCAATGTTTGCTACGCATATGCCTGTGGACAGATGTGCAGTAGCAACGATTTTAGGCGGTAATTACTCATCTATGGAAGTATTATATCAATGCTTTCAACTGTTTTGAGATTCAAAATTTAAACACATTCGAACATAGAACAGTTCCAAATTCAAAATATGGAAACGACAGTACACATGGTCAACAGAGACCTGCAAATAATTAATGCGTGGTCTAAAAGGTTTGGTTTAAAATGTCAAGCCATTGTAGTTAGAGGTCACCGATTGATGAGCAGAGTAGACACTGAGACTTCCGTCTATTATTTTTAACGGGACTACTATTCCTGTTTGTCAATCTGTGAAAGATCTTGGCTTACACCTTGATTGCACACTAAATTGGCGTGAGCAAGTTGCAAATCAGTGCCAAAGGGTTACTGGAAAACTTCGGTCTCTATATCGCCTGAGAAAATATCCTACCCGCAAATACCAAGACCATGCTTGTGCAATCCCTTATCTTCCTCTTAATCGACTTTAGTGATGTGTGCTGTTACCGTCTTCTTAATAACTGCATTCGATTTCTTCATAATCTCCTTAAATTTGATCTTTCCGTTCGCAACTCAATTGGCTACCAATACTTCTACGCCGAAAACTACGCGCTATTAGTGTCTTATATTCTATCTTAAACAACCCATCTTCGCCGATATATTTAAACTCCTACTTCCAACTTTTATGTAGTAATCAACGACAGAAACTTTCGGTCCAATAATAACCTTCTTCTTCGCTTTCCCCCCCACACGACTGAGTGTGTTGGCTCATCCTTTATTGTGCAGTCCATTCTTCTTTAGAATCAACTTCCCCTCGAGGTTAAAATGGCCACCAACACTTTCAAAACTAAAGTGAAGCAGTACGTATCTTGTAAAACAACTGGCAGAATCAACTGACGTATGATTGTCATCTACTATTATTAATGGTATTTATTTACGAATGCATGTATTCAGGTATATATTATGTATGTACGTATGTATAATGTGTATGGGGTCTAGTGTATGATAGGTTTATGTACGCGTATTTAATATTCTAACAACACAATATTTAACCAAAATGCACCTACTACCTGTTTTCTCTGCATCACCCAAAGGTTGACTGGTAGAGAATGCCTTAGGCATTAAGTCCATCAATGCACCAAAAGTGCATGTATAAATGAATAAATAATCGACGAAAAATGTAATGTTTGACGGGCCTGTCTGACGGTTTGGACTAGTGGTTAGTGACCCTGACTGCTAAGCCCGAAGCTTCGTTTCCCACCCACGACAAATATTGTGTGATGAGCACGATCATTTCTTTTGTGTTTGGTTGTAATTTATCTATCATATGTACCTATGTCATTAGAATTCTTAATTTATCACCAGTCTGTCTTTTTACCGTAATTCTCTACCTAGTTTTGTTTTTTAGTTAAACTTAATTTGCACAAAAGTTCAAAAAGATAAAACTCGACCCTTCATTTTTCACTTAATTTTACTGCTCATATATGTATTTACATTTTATTCTAATAAAATTGAAAAGACTACTTGCTGAGGTGGCGTGCGCGATGGGGTTGAGATATCTCATCCATTATCCTGTTGCCAGACAAGTAATGACTGCCATGGCTGGTCTGCTTTATATATACGAATGTAGAATAGGTAGAGCGGCCAGAATACCGACCGGAATACGTATATGTTTCTAAGTTTAAGTTTAATCGATATTCCTCAGTGAGGTCAGACATATTTTTAGGTCTTTATGTTTTTTGGTCTCGTTAGAATCTTAGAACGTGAAAAGTTGTATACCTACGCTGCACAGACAGACGAACACTATGTCAGTTCTTGGAAAGCTTGCTTTTTTTTTGGTCCTGTTTTGTTACACCTGTCAATCAGAGGGGTTAATTCGAGGAACACCAACACAAAGTAATACACATTTTAGAAATAGCCATATCCACCACCAATAGTTCAAATTGAGTGTGTCAAAACCACAAGTAAAATTATATTATTTATTTACATCTTTTCTACAATTTTTTATTAAATTATTTAAATAGTCTGCTTTTTCTTTTACTGTTTCCAATTTCGAATATAAACTCCATGGTACCTGAAATATAAAAGATGAACAAATATATTTTACATTTGAAATGAATATATTGGTTAATATTAGCTGGTGCCCATGAATCTCTACTTTACAACTTTTTTTTTTTCTACTTCTTTTTTCATCTTCTATTTTAATTTACTCTTAAAAAAAACATGAAAATTAGTTCAATGGTTAATAGGTGAACATTTAACAAATGTAGTTTAGCATTCAAAATATTTTAGATAGGTAGGTATTATCATACCAGTGAACTTGGCCTCTGGGCTTTATTTAGGTTTTTTTTTATTATATAAGGGGGCAACCGAGCAGACAGGTCACCTGATGGTAAGCAACTACCGCCCATGGACACCTGCAACTCAAAAGTCACAAGTGCGTAGCTGCCCCTCCCCCTCGAGTCAGCTGGGCTCCGGTAACCTCACTCACTCAGTGAAAGGCAACGAAAGAATTGCTTAGCACTGGTGTGTACTGGTTTTAAGTTTGTCCAGCAGTGGACTAGTATAGGCTGTTGATGATGATGACAAAAATTTTAATTAAATTGCAGCCTACTGACAGGAAAACCTGAGGATGTATCTACATGCAAGTTGGTATAATATCTTACCAATGCTGCATTATATCCTATAGCTTCCAGGTCCACAATTTTACTAAAAAGTGGTCCAGTTGGTGTATCTGTCTCATATATTAAAGCATTTCTGCCAGCTATTACTAGCACAGTCCAAATGTGATCATTCGGGGGCCTCCTTAGTAGTCCAAAGTCCTTTGGTGGAAATGCATGTTTTATATCTACTGGAGCATCATTAATATCATCACAAACTATAACATCTAAAAAAAATATTCACATTATTTATAATATTTATTTTGTAAAAAAAACCATCTCAGGGAAGTATTGTACACAAATTTTCAAATTTACATGTTTGCTTTCCTGGAACCAGGATAGTTGGCGCTCCTTGAGTGGATGGCATTGATTGATTGATGGATTATATTACAAGTATACACACTATTAAAAACAAAATTTGTGTATATAACATGAATGTAAATAAATAAATAATCTAATCTAATTTCTTAAATAAGGCTTTAAATTTCACATTGGAATTGCACTTTAAATACTTTACTTACCTCCCCTTTGATGATAGGGCAATATGTGATCTCCTATGACATACTGACTTCCGCCACGGCATTCTCTAAGCGTTCTCATAACATCTAGAAGCATCCGTTCAGTAACATTATATTGCTTCTTATATTCTTCAGTTGGTACATAATCAGTGTACTTTTTTGCCAGTATTTGAACAGATTTGTTACTAAGACGATTCTTTACAGTATTGTTACAATATATCTCTGCTATGAAATGCAGTGTTAGGATCTCTCTGCCATAGTTGTAACAATGCTTACCATAAATCTTTTCTAAAAATTCTTCACTCAACACTCTATTTATCAGATCAACAGGATAAAAATTTAAAAGACCTAAATATGCTACACAGCAAGCAAACGACTTGCCATGATTATTTATTTCTGATTCTCTCTCAGGTCTTCGTAATTCTTCAATGACCTTTGTGAAGAAGCAATCTGTTGTTTGAGGTATGAAGTTAAATGTACCATAACTTAACACTAGCCTTTCCAAATCTTTCATCCTTGTTTGGGACATCAAGTCTATTACATTTACAGCAATTTTTGACAAACATCCTGTATGCAAATTCATAGTTGAAGTACCTAATATGGCTATATGCACATTACACATCACTGATAATCTAGATACTTCATGCTGCAATATATCTAGAAGTCTTTGTATTCTATTATCTGTATTTATCTTATTTGAATAACGAATAAGTTTTAAAAGAGCTGCTAAAGAAACTTCATGAATGGTTTTTGCATTGTCTATAACAGAGTCAATAATTTTTAACACTAAATCCCTATCTCTAATTGGTGTTTTACTTTTAAAGAAGCCCATAGACATTATAGCTAAGTCTTCAACGGTAAACTTAGAGAAATGCTCATTTAACCGAATTTCTAAATTGTGCATGTCAAATGGTGCTTTTCTGATAATACCAACTAGAAACAGTGTTTGAACAAGTTGTCCTGGTGTTAATTGTTTTGCTTTGCTTGCCAATTTATTAAGGCTTTTTAATGAATAGTCGCTATATTTTATTACATTTAACATATAAAAAAGGGCTGTATATAACAGCAATTCATCATGTGACCAGTCTTTACATCTATTATAACATTCATCATCTAGTGCGACCCACACTTCTATGAAATTTCTAATTCTAATGGAAGGTGGCTCTGGAAACTTATTTAAAGAATAAAATAAATATTTCAGTTCTTCGTTAGTAGCATGTTTTATATTGTCAGTAAGGTGATCAATAAAGCTATCAAACATCTTGTCCGATATACACAGCTTGTGTTCAGAACAATACTTAGCCAGCATAGAAAATGCTTCAAATGTCTCACTAGATGATTTTTGAGACCAGTTTGCCTGAACCAAGCTTTGAAATTGTTCTTGAGTTAAAAGCTCTCGTTCAATAACGGAATTCAAACTTATAGCATATCCTTTGTTTTCTAATATATTATAAGCGTATTGGTTCTCCAATTCCATGTACATTTTGACGGATAGAAAAGAACTGATATGAATATTTCTATTTTGTTTAGATGACCAGTTCACCGAACATAATGGCAGTACTTTATGCCGTAAGCTAGACCATGATAGATTTCGAGCAACTTTCATTAAGAAAGACATGTTGAGATTATTTAATATTTAAATTATTTGAAGTATTCAACACATTGACATTCATTTTAAAAAGGTTATGTCTTATCTTTTGCCAGTTAGGGATGTCAATCTGAGATCGATTAATCGAAGACTCGACCTCTCGAGCCAAAAAAATCAATATTTTTTATCGAAACGTAGCACTAAATCGATTCAGTGGATCGATTACATTTGATTATTTCTGTTTTAATAAAAGCCAAAAAAATATTTACACCTAGTTGAATGTACTCAATATAAATAATATGTAGAGAAGAGGAGCCCGAATCCAAACGAGAGCTAGCCTTACATGCCTCTATAAGAGTAAACAAGTAAAGGACAATGGCAGGCATGTATGGGACTTTTGTACCGAGTTGCGTATGTCGTGGTAGGGATTATTGTTGTGTTTATTTGGCTGCTAATACTATCTACAATTAAAGTTTAATTACTAGCTATTTAGAACTTTGGGTTCAAAAGTTATTCCAGTTTGTAGTTTACATATAAACTGTACTGAAGTTGATACCCATGACAGCTTGCCATTGCTGATAACTTCAACAAGTTAACGTAGCGTAGTTACCATAATATTAAAATCTTACAAACACACTATTAGGGCTATCTTTGTAAACCATTCTACTCTCAACGTTTCTAAATAACAAGGATGTTTTTAATGGTAGTTAAGTTACTTTTTTCATAACGTTCACGATTAACCTAATTGATTTGAGCTAAAATTACTAGTCCCTTTCTTTAAATTAACAAATTTAAAATATTTCATTCTTTATTACTTCGTCTAATCTATACAGTCACCCTTTGTAGTAAAAAAGTTTGTTTTTAGAAAATAAATACATTAGTGACCTAATTCGTAAATAGAGATTTTAACATCGTATTTTATTTTTCATGTAATTTATATTTTATGCATATAAAGTTAAGACAACGTAGGAATGCGTTTTATTGACAACACTTGAACGTTTAGTTATTGCAGATGCTACAAGTTTTTGAGAAGAATTTGTATACTATTATTAAAGTTCTAAGGATCGGATTATTACATAAAAATAGTTAAGATTATTAACTTTATAAACAGTTTAAATCTTATAACAATCCATAATATTGTAAGGGGATATTGGAGAGGTATTGAAACGCCGAATGTTGAGACAATACTGAATATATTTTAGAATACACAATGATTATATAGGGATACATGAATGTCTATAATAGGGTATACACCACAATATGAACAAGCTGACTCTTTTAAAAGAAATAAATTTTATCCATTTTTGCAACATTTTTATTGATACTTGGCTCCTAGGTCGTAGCGTGGTCCAATTCTAAAATAATTTTTCGATTCGAAACAGTAGTACCACCGATTAGCGCGTTCAAGAAAACAAATAAAATTAATACATATTATAATAGAATAAGATAGAATTATAATATTAGTTTACATAAGAGATCGGCTATTATGGTACCTCTCTTATTTTCCATAAAACAGATTTATTAAAAAAAAATTACAATATAAATGCAGACACGAAAAAAAACAGTTTTAGGAAAGCGATCTTTTATAACTCGATTTCTTCAGTGGCTGATTCATATGCTTGCGATTTGAATGGATTTCAAAACCGATATTTTCGGAAAGATCGCATCCCTAAGGTTACATCAGTATGTGTGATGTGATTGTAGATAGAGTCTTACTTTTTTCCTAATAGCAATATATTAACTAATTCTCCCAGAACCCAGAATCACTATATATTATTATAGGAGAAATGAAATTATTATTAATATTTATTAGGTTTATAATATTAAAAATGTGCTCATACTAACCGCTTCCACGGTTTCTCCTGTCTGCGATTATTGTGCTTTCCCACATCTAATAAAACTAAATTTACCTGTTTGTTGATTGCTTTATTATATTAGTATTACATATTAATAAAGGAATCTATCTATTATTATACTGATTTATTTCTTTCGTAATAACTAAAAAAAATTTTGGTGGAAAATTTACAGATTTTTAGAGTAGGGCTGGCAGATTTTCTGGTTGTTTTCGGTGTTGAATCTGGTGGAGAGTTAATTTAACTGTTGGCAGCACTGTTTTTTAATTAGTCTATGGTAACGCACCATCAATCAACTTGCGTTGCGGAGTTGCGGTCCGCAGACATAACGGGTGGGTAATTTTCGCGCCCGGTTAGTGTTAAGACGAAAGTTAATGTTTTATGACAACTTTTGTACATTATGTTATGTATAATCAGTTGGATTAAATAATACGGCAATTAAATTCATACTTATATACATATAAAGCTTCATCATGTCTCAAACAGAGGAAGCTATGGAGGTTGCAGATGTTGGTGATAATTCGGTGTGTATTATTTCCAAGCATCTTAAATGTGTCCTGTATTATAGAAATGGTATAGTCTTATCATCCTTTGTTTTTCTTTGATAGAATGAGTCTTCTAACGATACTACATCATCAAGGGGCAAAGAAGGCGACTTCGAAAGCAAGATCGAAACTGATCGTTCAAAACGATTTGAGTTTTTACTGAAACAAACTGAAATTTTCTCCCACTTTATGTTAAATGCCCCTAAATCCGGTAACAGTCCTCCAAAACCGAAAGCAGGTAGACCTAAGAAGAATAAAGATGCCGATAAGGATTCGGGAGGAGCCGGAGAGTAAGTTACTTGAAAACGAGCATTCATTTGGTAGAGCATGAGTAAAATGAGAGCTAGTATAATATAAAATAAAAATGTACTGACAAGGGAAAGCTTAACAAAGGATATTGTCCTTATGTTATTTCTCTATCTATGGTGTACATATTTCAAGTGTTTTTGTGTAAAGTTTTTGTTACCTTCCTTAGTCATCGTCACCGTAAGACAGAACAAGAAGAGGATGAAGAACTCCTTGCTGAGACTAATATTAAAACAAAAAATATATTCCGGTTTGAAGCATCTCCTCCATATGTCAAGAATGGAGAAATGCGTGATTATCAAGTGAGAGGTCTGAATTGGATGATTTCACTGTATGAAAACGGTATCAATGGTATTTTAGCTGATGAAATGGGTCTTGGGAAGACATTGCAGACTATTTCCCTTCTTGGTTATATGAAGAATTACAAGTTAGTATTAAAACTTAGAAACTGTATTTACCTGCTTTAGAATAAGGGCTTTATACCTGCTCATAATAATGTTGTGCTGTAGTGCAGTAATCTATACTATAACACAGTAGATGTGTTCTGTGTTGTAGGAGTATTCTCATATGATTCACATTTTACTTTTCTCGTTACAGGGGGTTTAAATCAAATATTAAGAAAAAACTATGTTATTAATGAAATATTGGCGTTTTATTAAAATCAAATTAAGACCATTTTAAATAAAAAACTTATGCATATGTATCTAAAAAACAGTTAATTTCAAATAAATTAACAGTTTTATTACATGTTTGTTCGCTGTTGGAGCTATCTAAAATAACTTGCCACTGACATCTTTTTTTAAAGAATGTTCAAAGGTTTCACCATTTTAATATTTGTTATTTTCTTTACTTAAGAGCATATCTTCTTGTTCGTCTGTATTAATTAAAATTTAACTATTTAATGATTCTTCATTTTCTATTTTATGTTTTTTCTGCATTTTTGGTGCAAGAGCGTTGAAGGTTTATTTTAAATTCAGTAGATCGTTCCGCATAAGTAACACAATATGTGACAAGTATTTCCAAATGTGTGCCCAGTTTTACTATTTTATTAAGGTTTTCCATACATAAATTTTTGTATACTTCGTCAATAATCTGCACTGAGCTTTCTTCAGCACTATTTATAATATTTGCGTCAGACGTATCAGCTAATTGTACAAGCTCTACCTCATCTAAATCTTCAGCATCATTTATTTTGTCATAAATAACTCCTTCGTTCATGTTGTCAAATCCTTCTCTACCTACTGAATTAGCAATATTTACTATAGGTTTGATATTTATACTTGTAGAACCTAATTTTTCAGGCGATTTCAAGGACTTTAATTCTTGAACAGATAAAGATATTAACTTCACACATTTTAAAATGAGAAATCTTTCCACATCTAATGCAATTCCATATCTGGATTGCATACAAATTTTTCCAATATTTTATTTATTTATCACAAACACATCCTACACAATCCTTACAGGAAACCCAATGCGATTGTGAGGCTACAACTAATATTAAACTAATTTAACACATAATTACATAACTTTAAAATAACAGAAATAGAACTAAAAATGAAAAGAAAGCAAATAATCATACGAGAAGTAAAAAATTTTAATATTAAAAGTTATATGATACTACATTTATTATAACCCTCGTGAGCTCACTCGAGTTACACGAGAATATAAGTTCTAAGTTCAGTGTTCTATTCATATAATAAAATTTAAGTGTTTTTATAATACCCTGGGTGAGAGTTGATGTTGTAGTATCGTATCGACAGCCTTTAATAGTCCACTGCTGGACATAGGCCTCTCCTTACAAAGGAGGTTTTGGCCTACTATACCACGCAGGCCATACGGGTTGGTATAGGGTTTGTGTCAAGTTTTCCTTCTTTTGGAGGTGCTGGTGTCCTGCGTTGTTTTGCGCCCTTATTCGACTCTTACGACACCCACGGGATGAATTGGGGTAGTGACATTCCGTATTCTTAATCCGTCACTACACGGACAAGTTGATGTTGTAGTAGGTGGTAAAAAAAGTACTTATACGCTTGGTTGAGCTAGGTCTACTGGATGTCCTAGAGGATTGTCTATCAGGAGTAAAGCCTTGAAACTGATATTTTTGGTTTTAGAGTAATGTTCGACCTCTGGTACACAGCAGTAGTAAAATTAATCATGAAACAGCATCTGTGACCCATGCTTTTTTTGTTTGCTCTCAGTGAACGGTATGTGTAGTATTGTCAATACCTTTCATTGCCGGTGGGCTTAAAAAACGATTAATTAGCATTCGCTTTGTTGTATAGGCGCCAAAAGTATTACTACAAACAAGCAAGGTTATCCTTTCCTTGGATGCTTTAAACTCACCATCAGATCACTCGTTTTTTTTTGATAAATATGTTCGTTTAGGCATTTTCTTCCCATATAACCCAGTTTCGTCGGCATTATATACTTGGTCAGCTGTATATCTACCTTCATCAACCGAGCACTTTCAGAATCACCGCGCTCTCCTTGAATTTGGATATTATGTAAGAAAAACCTTTTTCGAAACCTTTCAAGCCAGCCGTTACTACTGACAAATTTTGATTTTGGCTTGTTGGAAGAAACAGTTTCCAATTAGTTTAAATGAGTAAAAATTTATTTGGATTTTGTTTTTATCATACAACTATTTATAGGAATATTATTTTAATTGCAATCTTCTATCAAAATCATCCAACATTTTTCTGTTTTTGGTGTCATCGAATCTTTTACACAAGATTTATTCAAGGTCTGCAACGATCTAGACCTAGACATTACTCCTAATTTTATTTTTATGTTGTTTAATTGCTTGTATTATTGTCTTGTTTAGCTCCAGATCCATTGCTAATACATTTGAATACTTACCATTATTTAGCTAATCCAAAATAAATTTCCTTTTTAACTGACTTCAAAAAAGGAGGAGGTTCTATGTTCCACTGTATGTATTTTCTAAATTAGGTTTTCACTTGTCATGGCTTAAGACTAAATATTTTATTTCAAATAAAATTTATAAAAATAAAATTTCTACACATTTGTAAATAACCAATGTTTTTACAATTCAAAAAATGGAACACAAATTTAATAAAAAAAAAATTTTTTTTATTAAAAACAACACAATTGAAACCCGTGCAAAGTACGCAAAACTAATTATGAACTCTAAGAATCATTATAAATTTCACGGTATAGAAATATACGAGAGCTATACGAGGGAATTGAAATCGCGTAATATAAAAATGCGTTATAAGAGTACCATATTATAGGGGGGATTACTGTATTTTGTATATTTTCATGTTAATATAAAATGTTAATGTTGTATATAATTACAGAAATGTGCCAGGGCCACATATTGTGATTGTGCCAAAATCAACATTGACCAACTGGATGAATGAGTTCAAGAAATGGTGTCCATCATTAAGAGCAGTTTGTCTTATAGGTGACCAGGAAACCAGAGTAAGACATTATTAGTAACTCGACAGATAAGAATAATATGAAGTACATCAGAATTTAACAATAACAGCTTCTATCTACAGATAGAAGCTGTTATTGTGCTAGATAATTAAATGTTTTCAATTTGAGTAGTAAACTTTAGTTGTAGTTGGTAATAGAAAACCCAATTTAAATTAAAGGTTTGAACATATTTTTGATATGTTATAGAAAATATCCTAAGATATAACTTGCAAATCTGTAATGATCTGGCACATCACTAGACAAAACATTTTATTATTAAGTTATAAATATTAACTACTAATAAAGACTACAGGCAGATTGACCTATCTGCCTGCCTTTTTGAGTTTACTATCATTACATACTAATTGTTTGTAATATCCTGTTTTAGAATACTTTTATAAGAGAGACCCTAATGCCTGGAAACTGGGATGTCTGCATCACATCATATGAGATGATAATTAGAGAAAGATCAGTATTCAAGAAATTCACATGGCGTTACATGGTGATAGATGAAGCCCACCGAATCAAGAATGAAAAGTCTAAGCTTTCGGAGTTACTTAGAGAGTTTAAGAGTATGAATAGATTGCTTCTCACCGGTACTCCACTTCAAAACAACCTGCATGAGTTGTGGGCACTTCTTAATTTCCTATTGCCCGATGTGTTTAATAGCTCTGATGTAAGTAGAGGTCTTGAGTGTACATGTACGCTGTATATGGAGAAATATGTTCCTTATAAGACTATCTGACTTTTAAGACTCGAAAGAGGTTGTTTATGAAGTAGATTAAAATGATCACCTCACCTACTGTTGTTGTATTACATAAAGTACTTTAATCTGAACTGTTTATGATAACTATCCAATAATTTTACTCAAACATTCTGATGTTTGAGTAAAATTATTGGATAAACTAAATTAATTATTAATTATTTTTTTTGTTCAAAATGTGGTAAAGATAGTTTTACTAATGCAAATGAGGACTAGAATACTAAAAAAAGTATAAAAAGACCAATATTTTTTTTAAAGTTGGTATACAATAAAAATCATTATTATTTATACTATAATCCGCATCTCCTACGCATTGTGGTATAAAAACAGTGTACGTGAGCCTCAGTAAACGTCCCTGTTGCGCTGCAATATCAGGGCAGCCCCATCAACACATGGAACTCGTCATTATATTGTATTCAGATACAATATTGAACGATTTTATGTAGAACGATGTATATTAAGCATTGAGATGTGGGGGATTTCAATAGCCAATTTCCATTATGTAGTGGTTTGTGTAACGGACTGCTACGCCATAGGTCACGGGTTCGATCCCCGCTCAAGTAAAACATTTGTGTGCATGAATGTTTGATTTGGTCTAAGTTTTTCTATGTATAATACGTACGTATTTACAAAAAAAAGAAAATATGCATATAAATCAGTTGTCTAATACCCATAGTAGAATCTCTGCTTAGTTTGGGACTAGATGGCGTTATGTGAATGTGGTAGAAAATTATTATTATTATTTTATGTATAGTACTTTTTTTTTTAAAGTTATATTTCTTAACATTTTTAGGACTTTGATTCTTGGTTTAATACAAATGCAGCTCTTGGTGACAATCAACTAGTGTCTCGGTTGCATGCCGTTCTGAGGCCGTTCTTACTTCGCCGTCTTAAGTCTGAAGTGGAAAAGAAACTTAAACCAAAAAAGGAAGTCAAAGTTTATGTAGGATTAAGCAAAATGCAAAGAGAATGGTACACTAAGGTCCTTATGAAGGACATTGATGTGGGTATGTTGAAATTTGTATGTTTACCTTTTATTAACTTATGAGTTAGTAGAATTACATTATAGGAGGAGAAAATATCTTGAAATATTGTGATCATTTATTAGTAGTACGGTCAGTATTATAAAGCACATATTTATGTGCTTTTTAATAAGTATTTACTTTGAGTAGCATTATTCAGGTTAACTTTAATACATTTTTAACACGCTTTTATTAGCTGGGTATGTATGTAACGGAATCTTCGAACGTAATTTTGACCTACTTCAAAACGTCGAATTAAATTAAAACTTCGCATACTTATCAAGGACCGATGCCAATACAATAATTTGATAAATCTGGCTGATTATCCTGATCAGGATCTTCAGGATTAACGACTTTTTCCATACCTAAAAATACGGTAGTCTCTTACTACTTTCTAAATAATGTACTATGTAACTTACTTACTTGTTAATTTTGTCTTAAGGAGAAATCATTAATTACTAAAAAAACAACAAAATTATAGTTTGAAAAAAACACGTTTTTGTAACTAGCCGAACTGAAAAGTAGATTTCTTTCTATAACTTCAAAAAAATATGTCATTTACCGTAACAAAGCGTGAGGGTGCTTTTCAAGATATTTTATATTATAATAACTTTACTTTTACCAATATTAGTTAATAAAATATTTTTACAATAATTGTGATCATCACCCCAGCATTTTTATATATCTATCTGCATCCGAAGTATAAAAATATTTGAAAAGATTTGTTTGTAGAAATTAATATAGTTTATGTAATTTTATTTGAAGGTAAAGCCTAGTATACCTAGTTTTCATGTTTTTGCACAAGTTATATTGTTGTTAATTTCATTTAAAATTTTAGTGAATGGTGCAGGAAAAGTTGAAAAAATGCGATTGCAGAATATTCTTATGCAGTTGCGAAAATGCTGTAATCATCCTTATCTTTTCGACGGCGCGGAGCCTGGTCCCCCTTACACGACCGACGAGCACCTCGTATACAACTGTGGGAAACTCGCAATCCTAGACAAACTGCTCCCTAAACTACGAGAACAAGGATCTAGGGTTCTCATATTTTCACAAATGACCAGGATGCTGGACATTTTAGAGGATTATTGTCTATGGAGACAATACAAGGTAAATACATAAACTGCATCAAACAATTTAATCATACAAATATTTTTTTCGGATGATTTTGATTAAATATATCTGAGAATTCAAAATAAAAAAAATGTGGGCAAAAATGGTTATGTGTATATCAGACTTTTTTAAGACTCGAAAAAGGCATATGAGGTAACTAGTTACACATGCTAAATCACCACCGCTATAATTAGAAAATACTGATTAATAAGGAGAAACTTTTTATAAAAAGTCATGATTTTTTTCCAGTATTGTCGTTTAGATGGTCAAACGCCACATGAAGATAGAAATAGGCAAATTGAAGAGTACAATGCTGAGGGAAGTGAGAAATTCGTGTTTATGTTGTCCACGCGCGCCGGCGGTCTCGGCATCAATCTAACCTCAGCAGATGTCGTCATCATCTATGATTCGGATTGGAACCCACAAATGGACTTGCAGGCTATGGACAGAGCGCATCGTATTGGACAGACAAAACAAGTAAGCATATATATTTATGATATTTAAACTATAAAGGTAAACTATAAGATGTAAAGCATGATTATAATAATACATTTAAAGGACACTGTTTTACCATATTAATCACTTAAGTCAGTACGGACATCTTTAGAGTTATGGTTATATTGAACCTTGATTGTATGGATAATATTATTTGCCTATCAAGCACTTATGTTACTTTTATTTATAATCCTCTAAAACATTATTTTCTAGGTGCGAGTATTTAGACTTATTACTGAAAATACTGTCGAGGAAAAAATCGTTGAACGCGCTGAAGTAAAGCTTCGATTGGACAAGTTAGTTATACAGTCGGGTCGCCTCGTCGATGCTAAAAACCAACTGAATAAGGATGAAATGCTTAACATGATCAGGCATGGTGCAAATCACGTATTCTCGTCTAAAGACTCGGAGATTAGTGACGAAGACATTGACACAATATTAGCTAAAGGAGAACACAAGGTAGTATAATATTATCATTTCTACATATGGCACTCTACATCTTTTCTCTACAACTTGTGTTCATCAGTAATGATACCTTAAAGATTTGAAAAGGTCTCAATGGTGATATAATTACACTCTTCATTTTTAAAATGATTTAAGAAACTAACATCCACCCAATTTGATCACCTAAGATTTCACATAAATAATTTGACTTGTAATTCTTATCTATAGCGTTGAATAGCATATACTGAACAAAAAAATTGTAACCTTCATAACTTTGCTAGACGACTTAATTTAAATACAGAATGTAGAATTCATGAAATGTTCAAAAGATACTGTGTATAATGTAATAATGTTTTCAAATAAATTATGCATTAATAAAATAAACTAGGTTGGTATTTGAAACAAAGCTGTGAGTTTTATGAATATATTTAAACTAAGCATACTTGAAATCTATCTGTTACAGACTGAAGAGTTGAAGCAGAAGTTGGAGAGTCTCGGCGAGTCTTCACTACGCGCCTTTTCCATGGACACACCTGGCGCTACAACAGATTCAGTCTACCAGTTTGAAGGTTTTACTTAATGAAATTGTATCTGTTTGTTATGACTCAGTGTAAAGGTTTTTCTGTATTTAACAGTATAAGATTAGTAACAGAGTGAACTACACTCGACATGACTATTACAAAAGTGTCGTTAGTATTTCTAATTGTATTAATCATTAATTTTATTTAGGGGAGGATTACAGAGAAAAGCAAAAAGTGATACCGATTGGTAATTGGATAGAGCCGCCTAAACGTGAACGTAAAGCTAACTATGCGGTGGACGCCTACTTCCGAGAGGCTCTCCGTGTGTCTGAACCGAAGGCGCCAAAGGTACAGGTAAATAAGTGTAAAGAGCTAAGTGCGGACTGCGGACCCGGCGCAGCCTTCTACTTGTGGTGGTGGTAGTTCTATCCTTTACCATGCATATATACTCATGTAATTATTGATTAGCTCTTTTCACTGTGACGTGACTATTTATTGTAGTTTTCATCTTTTATATCTATTTATTTGACTATTTTATTATATCTATTGAAATTATATTTTTTTATTATATCATAATATAATTTATAATGCTTCATAACGTAATTAGTGGGTAAACTTTTCGGGGCTTCAAATATAATAATACTTTTTCTGTTTAGGCTCCGCGTCCACCAAAACAACCGATCGTTCAAGACTTTCAGTTTTTCCCTCCGCGTCTTTTCGAGTTACTGGACCAGGAGATTTATCACTATCGTAAAACACTTGGGTATGTGTATATTTATTCAAAATTTAAATTTAATTAATTTTTTTTTTTGAATAAAATTATTGTTAATGTTAAGTTTATTTATCTTGTTTCTAACATTTATAATATTACAAAAATCAGATACAAAGTGCCTCGCAATCCTGAATTAGGCCCCGATGCAGCCAAAATTCAAAGAGAAGAACAGCGGAAGATTGACGATGCAGAAGCACTCACTGAAGAAGAGGTTCAGGAAAAAGAACAGTTGCTTACCCAAGGTATGGCATACAACGAGATAATATATAAACTTTAGTAATCCTAAAAATATAATTTAATTCTGTAATATTTTTTTAGGTTTTACTAACTGGACGAAACGAGATTTTAATCAATTTATCAAAGCAAATGAGAAATATGGTAGAGATGATATTGAAAACATAGCTAAAGATGTTGAAGGCAAAACTCCAGAAGAGGTAAGTGTGCATTGCTAAAGTATTTTAGGTACATTCTTTATTTAATATCTATATTCTTTGCAAATATTGTTAACGTTATAGGTCATGGAATATTCTGCAGTATTTTGGGAGAGATGCCACGAACTACAGGATATAGACAGAATTATGGGGCAAATAGAAAGAGGAGAAGCCAAAATACAAAGGCGGGCGTCGATAAAGAAAGCTTTAGATGCCAAAATGGCGCGGTACAGAGCACCATTCCATCAACTTAGAATTTCATATGGAACTAATAAAGGAAAAAATTATGTTGAAGAAGAGGACAGGTATATATACAATATGCTTTATGTATAGTAAAATTATAGATTGATTTATTAAGAAATTTATAAGTATGTTTATTTAGAAATATGTATATGTGCCTGGTTGACAAGGCAACAGTAAAGGTCTTGTCTTAAATTGAGTGAGATTGGACTCACAGTTAGCAAAATGTGGGCATTTAATCCGTTTCTTTCTATCCCTTCCGAGATAAAGACGTAGCTGTATTTATGTATGTAATTTTCATACATCTGCAAAAGAAAAAACTGAGAGACTGATTCACTGACTGATTGATCAGCTGAAAGCGCTGGGTCTAGAAGCATGAAATTTTGAACAAATATTCCTTAAGTGACATAAGTATGCAAGGATTTTCAAAAATTCCACCCCTATTTAAGGGTTTCAATGGCGTTTGGAAATTTATATGAAACTACGTTATTTTTGGTAGTAGCGTTTTCAAACTCAAAGCAAATACAAGAGTAAATGAGTAACAAAAAACGTTGTTGCTTAGTTTAGAAAGTGTTTTGTTTTTATGAAGTTCTGGTAGTTTTTGGCGCCGAGGATAAACTGAAAATTCATACAATTTTGAATGAGTTCCTACGTGGAAACACCGTTACCCAAACAACACGAAACATTAACGACGTGTAAGAGTCTAACACTGCTTGCATAAACAGAGTCCATTACTGGTTCAATCGTTTACATTTGGAGATTTTGAATCGCGGTCGGCCGGTAACTATAGTCGACAACGACGAATTGAAGGCTATAGTGGAAGAGGATCCAACTCAATCTACGGCTGAGCTTGTGGCGGGCTTTGGAGTTCGTGTCTAATTGAACGTAACTTTAATGTTTAATGTTCTGATTCCTAAAGGAAGTCAGCTTCATATAAGTATTTTTACATTGCTGTTTATAGCTGCAGTTTATAGTTTCAATAGTAAATACACTTTAAATCAGTGATGGCATAGGGCGTTCGACGAAATAAATCCAGATCGCGCGCGCGGACGTGCAAGGCGTCGACATAACATTAAAGCACTTGCATCAAATCGGAAAGATAAAAAAGCTAGATAAGTGGGTGCCACACTAATTAAGGCGACCATAAGGGCGACTTACGCGACGGTCTTTACGGCCTTTACGGTCTTGTCTTAAATTGAGTGAGATTGGACTCACAGTTAGCAAAATGTGGGCATTTAATCCGTTTCTTTCTATCCCTTCCGAGATAAAGACGTAGCTGTATTTATGTATGTAATTTTCATATATCTGCAAAAGAAAAAACTGAGAGACTGATTCACTGACTGATTGATCAGCTGAAAGCGCTGGGTCTAGAAGCATGAAATTTTGAACAAATATTCCTTAAGTGACATAAGTATGCAAGGATTTTCAAAAATTCCACCCCTATTTAAGGGTTTCAATGGCGTTTGGAAATTTATATGAAACTACGTTATTTTTGGTAGTAGCGTTTTCAAACTCAAAGCAAATACAAGAGTAAATGAGTAACAAAAAACGTTGTTGCTTAGTTTAGAAAGTGTTTTGTTTTTATGAAGTTCTGGTAGTTTTTGGCGCCGAGGATAAACTGAAAATTCATACAATTTTGAATGAGTTCCTACGTGGAAACACCGTTACCCAAACAACACGAAACATTAACGACGTGTAAGAGTCTAACACTGCTTGCATAAACAGAGTCCATTACTGGTTCAATCGTTTACATTTGGAGATTTTGAATCGCGGTCGGCCGGTAACTATAGTCGACAACGACGAATTGAAGGCTATAGTGGAAGAGGATCCAACTCAATCTACGGCTGAGCTTGTTGCGGGCTTTGGAGTTCGTGTCTAATTGAACGTAACTTTAATGTTTAATGTTCTGATTCCTAAAGGAAGTCAGCTTCATATAAGTATTTTTACATTGCTGTTTATAGCTGCAGTTTATAGTTTCAATAGTAAATACACTTTAAATCAGTGATGGCATAGGGCGTTCGACGAAATAAATCCAGATCGCGCGCGCGGACGTGCAAGGCGTCGACATAACATTAAAGCACTTGCATCAAATCGGAAAGATAAAAAAGCTAGATAAGTGGGTGCCACACTAATTAAGGCGACCATAAGGGCGACTTACGCGACGAAGTATGCATAGCACTACTGAATCGGCATAGAAACGAAGGTATTTTGAAAAGAATTGTTACCTGCGATGAAACTCTGTGATGATGATTGGTCACACTTCACGACAGACCATCGCAAAGCTACAAGAGTTACAGCTGGAAAGCTAGGTTATCATCCGTACTTACCGGACCTTGCCTTTACTACCTTCAAAATTAAGTCACTTTTTAAGTGGGACAAAAATTTTACACCCGAGAGGGAGTACAAAACGCTTTTGCTGACTTCATCACCTCCCGTCCAGCAGTAAGTAAAAGGATAACCAAACTGCTATGAAAATGGCAAAATTGTAAAGATAATTTAGACAGTACTTTGATCAGCTAAAATAAAAATAAAACCAAAATTTTTTTTTTTTTAATTAAAATCTCAAACATCATAGGGAGAAACCAAATTTGTATATATATTTAGAAGTAAATATGTTTATCAGTAGTCTGGTTACCATTGTACAAGCTCTGCCTAGTTTGGTATCTATTATTATTATCATTAGTGTCGACTAATATGTGTAATGTAAATATGTTATTGCAGATTCTTGGTATGCATGCTACATAAACTAGGATTTGACAAAGAAAATGTCTATGAAGAACTTCGTGCTGCAGTTCACGCTGCTCCACAATTTAGGTTTGATTGGTTTCTAAAATCAAGAACAGCCGTAGAACTACAGCGCAGGTTAGTGAATAATTCCAGTTCACTATTATTTTATTTAAGTAAGTTTTATTAAGATATATATAATATTTTCAGATGTAATACTCTAATCACGTTAATTGAAAGAGAAAATCAAGAACTTGAAGAAAAAGAAAGAGCAGAGAAAAAGAAGAAAAGTGGAAATCCAAACCAGAATATTTCAGGCGCGAATGCTGCTGGTAAAGGAGCTAATGCCGGCAAACGTAAGACTGAAAATACTCCTGACACAGCCCAAAAACACAAAAAGAAGAAAAAATGAAACAACACGGCTGGAAAGTGGATTTTAATTTCTTAACACGATTATGAGCATTACATTGGTGAATAAATCTAATGTTATGATTATTTAAATTATCGTTTTATTTTGAACAAATGTTGACGTGTTGCAATTTGCAATATGGTATAGATAGTTCAACTCAGTTGTGCGCGCGGCCCTATGACGTACGTGGCCCAGTGACGCGGCAGTCGGACGACTGCCACACGAATGAAAGTTGTATATTTACAAGCCCACGCACACATAGGGCCGCGCGCACAACTGAGTTGAACTATCTATAAAGGTTTTTTGGAAGTTAACCTTTCATGGTACGTTTACACCCTTGGCAAGTCTCTACAAGTGTCCACAAACACAAGCGTGTAAACGGGGTGTGTTTTGCTTGGTTTGCGTGTTCGTTGTTTAACACAGATCAAGGAATTTTGCGGCTAGAGCTTGCGACGTATTTACACGTTAGCCAAAGTGTATTTTAATTATTGAGCTTCCTAAAAGAAATAAAATATAATTTGAAACACCGCCTAAGTAAAAAAAAGATAGTTAGGAAACACCGCTTAAGTAAATGAAAGTATTATTCTATTACTATTTCTTTCTATATTAATGCGCGTAAATCAATAAACATTATTATATAGCTTACCTCTTAATCTTTTATTAAAACTTCTTGAAAAATAATAATAATAAGGTTTATTTGTCTCAAAAAGGTAAATAGGTACATAGGTTTGTTATGCTACTATAATAAAAATAACATACATGACACCTTAGTGAGAGCTGGAGTTTGTAGTAGGTTCGAAACCTGTGTGACAAATCTCCAGGCTCCCACCTTAGCGATACAGATGCAATACATATACATGTAGATTTTGAGCAACGTGATACATTTTTTATTTTTATTTTTTTAATTCAAAATATAATTAAAAAAGGTAAGAAGAATTAGAAATTAGTGTATGCGTGCGTGTGTGTGTGTGTTGAGTGTGTGTGCGTGTGTGTGTGTTTGTGTATGCGCATGAGTAACAGTACTTATTTTAAAGTACAGATTATCTTTTCTGTTTCGTCATAATCCAAATCAATCAACCACTTGGTAACAGCTTTTTTACATTGAAATTTAGTCATTGGGTACACATTCAGGATTTTGTTAACTTTGTTGTACAAATAGTTACCAAAGTGGTAAAAACATCGCTGTGCTAATCTTGTTCTGACTGGGTTTGACGGGCATACAGTATACTTTCGACGAACAGACTTAAATTTCGAAGGATCATAAGGAGTCTGAGAGTGTGTCGTAAGAATAACGGAGAGGATAAATAGTTTACGGACAGAGAGCACATTACAGGTTTTATAAACATCAGTGGTCGGGAAACGGTATGGTAGCCTCCAACCAACTTTTAGTACCGCCCTTTGGGCACGCTCCAATTTAAGGAGATATGTTTTATCTGCACCTCCCCAGGCAAGGATGCAGTACTGCGTCAGAGACTGGCAAAGAGCAAGATAGGTGGTCCTAAGTATTTGTGTATCAGCTACCTGACCGAGGGTTTTAAAGACAAATATGAGCTTTCGTAGTCTGGAGGATAGTGCGTCTATGTGTGAATGGAAGGAGAGAGTGTCGTCAATCTGTACCCCTAGATATTTTACACTGTTAGTTCGGCACAGGATGGGGCAATTACAAGAGGCCTGTGAGAGCGGATTACAGGAGTGAGCGATGAGGGTACAGAATAATGAAGAAGGCCTACCAAGTGAAGTTAGTGAAAATGTGAGGTAACTAGTTTTATCAACATTGAGTGCGAGTTGATTATTGGCCAGCCAATTAGTAACAGCGTTAAGACCCGATTGTGCACTCTCAAATGCCGCCTCCCAAGAGCTGCCATAAGATATGAGGGCTGTATCGTCGGCGTAAGTAAAAATCTTGGTGCTGTTTAGTTGTAATTGGCACAGATCATTAATATATAATAGAAATAAGGTAGGGCCGAGGATGCTGCCCTGTGGGACTCCATTGATTACAAATAGCTCTTGGCTACAGATATCGCTAATCTTAACATACTGTCTTCTATTGATGAGATAACTTTTGAATAGAGACAGTTGACTACCTCGGATACCGATTTTTTCCAATTTAGTTACAAGGATAGGAACAGAGATCATATTAAAAGCTTTTGATATGTCTAGAAAAACACCCATAACTTTTAGTTTATCATCAAGCTTAGCTGTGACTTCATTGGTTAGGTCCAAGACTGCTTTACTCGTGGATAAACCGGAACGAAAACCATATTGACATGGAGACAACAGTTTTGTTTGCTCTAAGAAATTTACAAGCCTGTTGTTCATTAACCTCTCTAATATTTTAGAAAGGGTTGGCAAAATAGATATAGGTCTGTAGTTCTGCGGTTGACCCCTATCACCTCCTTTGTGGATCGGGTGAACTACAGCGAGTTTAAATGCTTCTGGAAATGTTCCTGTATTGAAAGCAAGATTACATAAATAAGTTATAGGTGGGACCAAGAAGTCTTTGAATTTTTTTAGGAAGTTACCCGAAATGTCATCGTTACCTACTGCGCAGTGACTTTTTAGATTCATTATAAGAGCATCGACTTCAGCTTCATCCGTTTCTAATAAGGCGAATGTGTGATGGTGGTAAGGGAGGACGTTTGCCAAGTGCGGATGGTGATTGCCAGTAGTGATTTGTCCGGCTTGGGACCGTCCAATATCAGCAAAGTAGGTATTAACTTCATTCACCGATCGTTTTGGGTCTCGTTTGGAGAGAAGTTCGAGCGGTTGTGTAGTGTCTTTCAGCGTGTGTGTGATAGTTTTTATAGCTTTCCAAACTTTTTTTGTATTACCTTGTGCCTTATCTATCTGATTTTTATTATATTTTAATTTTATGTTTTTAAGTAGGTTAGAGCAGTAGTTCCTATATCTTTTGAACGTTACTTTTAAAATTTCATTATTAGGATCATTTTTAAATTTCAAGTATAAGTTATCCCTATTTCGCAAGCATTTCAGTAAACCTGGGGTCATCCACTGTTTTTTAAGTCTTTTACGGTTTGGAACAATTTTTAAGCTTGAGTTTGCAGTAATTAACGAGTTTATAGTTTTAATAAAATAATTAGTCGCGTCGTTGACGTCAGAAAAGGCATAGATAGGGGTAAAGTCCGTTGTTATGATTTGTGATTGAATATTTTCAAAGTTAATAACTTTGGTAGTTTTATAAGTAGTGTAATTAGAGTAGTGTTTAGAACGAAGGAAAAATAAAATTGTATCATGATCAGTGATGGAAGTATTTGCTACGTAACAGAAAGCAGGTAGTTTAGTTTTTAATAGTAGGTGATCTAGACAGGATTGATTCTGACGTGTATAGAGTGTGTGAGCCGGGAGCATACCATGATATGCAGCCATATTAAGATAATCAAAGGAGCGGGGATTGTTATTAGTGTTAGAAATGTCAATGTTGATATCCCCAGTCACAATAACATTTTTATAGGAGGAGTAGGAGTTCAAAAGTTCATGGAGGGAATTGAGAAAATCGGACACGTTTTGCCTTGCAGGTGGGCGGTAGATTGCGATCACCACAGTGTCCTTATTAATCGTAAGACTTAAACAGTTAGCATCTTTTAGAGAAGGTTCAGTGGGTGAGATTCGAAGATGCTGGCTAAAGTATATCACTACCCCTTCATTCTGTGTGTACAGTTTGTTAGTCCTAACAGAGCTGTAACCGTCTATTGTTGGGATTTGTGATGAACTTTGCAACCAGCATTCGGTAAGAATGATCAAATCCCAAAAGACGTCACTTCTATCCAAAAGGGTCAAAAGACCATCGAAATTTTTGTTGATGCTCCTGATGTTCTGACATAAGAGTTTTAAGGATCTCCCATGTGAGCGAGATATTTGAAGGCATTCCTCTATCACACAATTCGATGAGCTTGCAACTGAAATTCTGTCCAAATCTGCATGAATTTCTTGAACGTTATCGAATTTTGTATTGTAAAATTATGTCCCAAAAATTGGGGTTGAAAACAGTAGTAAAAATAGATAAAAGCAAATACACGAAAAGTCCCCCGTTATAAATTATAAGTAAAATACATGCAGTGATATTGTATGCAAGGAATAGTTTATTATTGGTTGTTAATATTGAGTAGTATGACCACTGGTACAGGAATCTGCGAGTAATATACATAAGTAAGTAATAACGTGTGCAGAATGTAGACAAGTAAACATTCGGGGGCGGGCTATAAGGGTGTTGGGATTTTATATTATTTCTGGTGATGTAGAAAATATAATAAAATAAGTAAACTAAGGTGGAACGATTTGCTGGGTGGTTGCGATTTATTAATTTAGATTTGATGCAGTATTTTATGAGTGTTATAATTGAATGGTGTTTATAGTTGTTGTTATATGTGTAGTGAATTATTATTGTAATTGTAAGTGTATTAAGCGGATAAGTTATATTTAAAGTGTATAGTGTAGCAAGTGAAGTGAATCTTGATAGTTTTGAACAGAATATGGATTGTATTAGAACACAAATATATATATGCGAAATACTTGTATATAAAGTTATGCACGCAAACACAGGTAAAAGTAATAAAAGTAAGGAAGTGGTATATAGTCATTCATTCTTTTCCAGGTCTAGAATTGTCTGTTCCGTCTTAACAATGAAATGTCGGGCTCCTTCTTCCTTCCGAATAAATATGTTACCGTTTTTTAACCAGCAGAACTTATAGTTTTTCGTTTTTGCCAGTTCTCTTGCCCTAAAAAACAGCCTTCTTAAACTTGCCGGAAGATGTTCAGCAACAAATATAGGCCGAGAGTCTCCAGATAGACCAATGGACCGAGTGTTGAGCGTTTGTTCTTTTGGACGATTTTTATTGAAGTCACGGTAACACATAATTAGTTGATTTTTAAAGTTAACGCTGTTAAATTCTATGACAATGGGTCTAGTTGAGCCTGGTTTGCCCGGGAGTCGGTATACGTCGCGTATTTGCGAGTCAGAGAGGGGCAAGTTGACGGCCGCCGTG